CTGTCATCATCATCATCATCATCATCATCATCATCATCATCATCATCATCATCATCATCATCATCATCCACAGCATTGAACTAATATTCAGCACCGATATTTCGCCGCCCTTCAACCATGATTTATTTGAAATACTTATTGTGAAGAATGAAGGGAATGAAGGGGGAAGGGGCTTAGTGCTAGCTTACTGCAATCACTTCAAGGTACCTACGCCTCAAGACACTCATTCAGGCAATCTGGACAACAAGAGCGCCACTAGCATTGATTATTGGCTATGTATTGCGGCGTTTTCAACCAGGCGCAGTGGGGAGCGTGCAGTCTCTAAATTGGAAGACGAATAGCACCAACAGCAATCAGACTTTTGATGACCTATTTTATAAGTTCTTGTCTCACTGGCATTGCTCACCTGAAGAACCCGAAGTTGAAAGGCAAAACCGATTGTAGGCGTTCGAAGTGTTTTCAGCAACCTCATGAGTAGTGTGTTACGTTTAGAAAGTAACGTGTTATGGTATCTCGAACAAAGTACCAACTGGAATTTGAGTCAGCAGCATAATCAATAGAGGCAAGTCATCATAAACGAGATATTCAGAGCTGGATTCAAGTGAGTCTCCTGTGGAAATTAAATTCGTGTGCAAATGAGAGTAGATGTTCGAACCTTGTTGGAACAAGTGGTCTGTCTTTGTGTCCAGACTATTGGGTGGATGGCCTGTTTGTAATTTTCGGCAAACACTGCATGGCAGTTCCTCAGATAACGATTACTTTTTTCATGGCTCAACTTTATGCCAATGGCAAGGCTCCCTAAACTATGCGTTGCTCTAGATTGCCCAAATGGACTACATTTAGTTGGCTTCTTTTTCAAAACAAATGTATAACCACGGACAGGAGGTATGCACACCACAGTGAGTTAGTTAAAAAGGTGACGGTTGATCTTGAGCATCACAAGTAGAAATCAAAATGTTCCGTTTGAAATGAGTGTGGTAGTTGAACATTTCCAGATATAACAACTCTTGAAATATAATCAGGAACTCTGAGACACTAGTGTCACCAGTTAGGTGCTGAACGTCCATCAGCTCACTTGTCGTGAAGATTACACAAACTGGCAGATGGCACATTAATCACTGTCACGGAATTCGTGAGGACTAAAATGTTGCACATATGAAGTACAACAACAAACTCAGTATGCGAAACAACCATATGAATCCATCAATTTGAACAAAGCAGTGAGAAGACGAATATTGTTAGATAGGTGCATCTACTAATGGCTCATCGCCATCAAACTACTAGTTACGAAATTGCTTCAGTCACCACACTAGGGTTTGGTCAAGTGGTTACAGACCGATCGGTCTTTGGATAAAAAAGAACGTACATGCAATGTTCAAAAAAACGTAAGGGATAGATCGATTTTCGTTTGAAAACGCAATACTGATGTGAATCGATCGATTATCGTGGCCTCAGCGAATCTGACGGTATATGAGATCTGGTTGTTGGACAAAGTAGTTCAACTCGGGTTGAACTTGAGTTGAACTCGACTTGCTTACACGGGGCTCAAAGGTGTTCACCAGCTGGTGACTATGTTGACTTTACGAAATTGCTTCAGTCACCACACTAGGGGTTGGTCAAGTGGTTACAGACTGATTGGTCTTTGAGGAAAAAGAGCGCACATGCTATGTCCAAAATAACCTAGGGGATAGATCGATTTTCGTTTGAAAACACAATACTGGTGTGAATCAAATGATTGTGGTGGCCTCAGCGAATTTGACGGCATATGAGTTCTGGTTATTGAACAAAGTAGTTCAACTCGGGTTGAACTTGAGTTGAACTCGACTTGCTTACACGGGGATCAAAGGTGTTCACCAGCTGGTGACTATGTTGACTTACGATCAGAGAAGGGTTCGGATTTTTTTTCTGTTATCAGGCTCTGAGCCTTTGATGTGGACGTACTCCTTCATTCTTGTATTAAGACACCAATCTGTCTTGGCTATGCAAGAATCTCCTCTCCCGAAAGATTCCTTTTTCCTCCATGATCACCGTCGTCATCATCATCATCAGTGTTCAACACTGAAAACCAGTTTACAACTGAAAATTAGTCTACAAGTGAAAATTCCCATTTTCTACTTCTGGACGTTCAAGCGTTTGGCTGATATTCTCCTTAGACAGAGTCCTACTAACAGTATAATATGCCAAATATGCTCCACACTTTTCGAAGTAATTGTACAAAACGCTAACTGGGTGGCACCGGAAGCCAGTTGCTCGAGCATGTCCAATATGGTTCACTTCATTTTTCCGACCATGTTAACGGCATGTGAAATGCGGTGTCTCATCAAACAAAATAAGAATCGGGTGCTTGTATAAGCGTGTCGGTGCCGTGGAGTGCCGTCAATGATAGTTAGACGCTAAACTGCGCTGTCTTATCAACCCGAAGCCTGATAGCTTAGTTGGAGTCTAAGTCAGTGGTCCTTGAATGGATGGTGATAGTTAGTGCTGAATGGAAGATGCAGAAAAGATTCATTCTAGCATGATTGGCCAGTTGCCTGTTTATTTAAAGCACCTTTTATTGAAAGTCTATCTTCAGTTGAGATTTCTAAGTGAAGTCAGGCAATGTTGGAAATCCGACAAGAGATGTTTTTATCCCTATTAGGCATCATCAGTAGTGCGCATCTCACGTAACCAGGAGACTGGGAGTTTAAAACCCGCGGCGATCCAGCTAGTGGTTAAGCACTTAACCGTTTGGCGGTGAGCGGCTGATCAGCAGTGTGAGCAGCTATCACTTAGACAGGATATAGCGTCAAGTAAGTTTTAGCGAGGATATGAGGGCGAGAATAGCGAGATTAGGAAAGACGTTGAGATCTCCTAGAGGCTTTGAGTTGATTTGCCGAGAATCATCGACTGTGTCGGACATCACGTGGTCATTTCAGTCGCTTATCTGGTTAAAGGGTTTGCACGTCCGATCGTTGGTTCTGTCACTTATCTTATGTAGACGTGTACCTGAACTTGACAAAGAACATTGATTTGTCCGTGTGGATGACATTTTGCCTTTAAGCTAGTTCTGGCTCCTCATTTACATCTAAAATGTGAATACATTCCAGTTGCATTTGGAAATTTTTTAAATCGCAAAGAAGGCCAGGCAGCTATTCACAGTTGACGTGGAAGCTATTTCCTGTGGTGTGGTAAACAGCCTTCGGGATGCTCTCAACCTTCAAATGTACCTAGATATCAAGATGCCTCCATCGCAAAAAAACACCTCATTCCTGAGGTCTCACCCGATGTTCTTCAGGACAAAAATGATCAAAAGAACTAAGGGCATTCATCATATCTGAATGGGGAACATCTTTCAGCCTGTGTGATAGGTTACTCTGCTTCTCAAAACACGGCTATCATGGAGCATACTCAGACGCGACCATCGGCGACTGATTGTCGCATGGAGAAAAACTCATGCCATTTTTTGTAATGTTCTACTCATAAGGTTGCTGAAAATCCATCGACAGCCCACGACCGGTTTCGCCCTTCTTGGGGCTCATCAGGTAGGCGCAGTCCCCGGGTTTCCGTCAACCTTATGTTCTACTTGAAACCTTGCAACCTTATGAGTAGTACATTACAAAGGTATACATGTATCGCGATATTTCAAATATCGTAGCGACTGAAACATGAGGCAGCCTGGTGCAGCACATTCAGTTGCCTGAGGACATCATAAACGAGAGATTCAGCTGGGTTCCAGGTGAGTCTCTCGAAAGAACCAAATTGGTTTGCAAATGAGTGTATATTCGCTCATGCCATTTTGTTCAATTCTCTATGTATCCACACTATCAGTAACTGCCACTTTGGTTGATCAGGTGCTTGTCTGATGTAGAAACTGGGACAAATACTCGACATTTC